GGGGCGACTAGCAGCGGCGGACGCGGGCGTGGGCGCGGGCGCGGGAGTTGGCGCGAGGATAACCGCCAAGTGAGGGTTGGGATAGGTTTTGCTCCCCAACCCTTACTTCTGAAGGTTGGGAGAGGGTTTGAGGATTGGACCCTTAAAAAAATTTAAGGGTTTGAGGGTTAAGGAGTTCTAGTCTACACGATTTTTTGCTCGTAAATTGCAAAAAAACAGTTATTTATAAGGGTTTGAGGATTCTACTAGTAATGCTCTTAGTTTACATCATCTCTTTATTTACTGCCACATCGCCAACGGCCCACGGTTTCAAAAAAGAAAAAAGGAAAACGCCGCCGCTCCAACGGCTAGTTCTCCCCAGCCGCTCCCGGATCGGACTCAAAATTCCATCGCCCAACTCGCCACAGCCAGAGCAGCCACAGCCCACAGCCCCGCCGTAGCACACCATCTCCGACGCGCCACGCCGCCGCTCTCGCGAGCTAGCCACAGCTAGACCGTCGATCCCACCGGGCGGGAACGCGGAGGCGCAGATGGAGATCCCCCGCAGCCTCGGCGTCCAGGACAACGAGGAGGAGGAGGAGTACGACAGCGTCTTCTACGAGGACATCGAGGCGCCCAAGTTCGTCGACCTCACCGCGCCCGACGCCGCCTGCCCCGCCGACGACCCCTCCTGGTTCTGCCTCCGCGTCGGTAAGCAATCAATTCATCCATCCTCTACCCTTTCACAACCACAGCCCCTCACCGCCGGCGCTCGCTGTCGAATCTGAGACGCCAAATTCGGCTCGGCGCTGACCCGCCACCGCGGCGTATGATATGCAGGCTGCGACCAGAGTCACGAGCACGTCGACCCGGAGGCGCTGCACAGGAGCTTCGTCATGCGGGTAATCCATCCATCCATCCATCGCTCTCCCGAATCGAATCTCGCAGCTTCTCGTGTTTGATTGATGCGTGACTGCATTCGACGGCTGACGGAACCGAGTTCTGATCCCTCCCCCCCGCAGGTCATGGCGGCGAGGAGCCCCAACGTGAGGCTGCACAAGGCCATCAGCAGGCGAAACCAGAGGTGCGCGTCTCTGATCCAAATTCTTCTTCTTTCTCGCCCGACGCCGGCCTGAATTGGACTGTTATTTAGATCGGATTTGTTGACCCCGTGCAGCTCGACGCTGCCGAAATGCCCCCACTCGGCGCCGGCGAAGCCGCCGAGGACCCGGATGACCAGGCTGAGCCTGGCGACGGGGGCGGCCGAGAAGGCGGCGAGGGACAGGCTGCAGGGCCACCGGATTCGCGGCCTGAGGGATTCCCCGGTCCGGACCAAGGCGGCGAGGGTCGAAGCGTCCAGCGCGAGGAAGAAGGCTCTCACCACGCCCAGGAGCAAGACCGTGCGGCCGAGGCAGGAGCCCTTCCTCAGCGTGAAGCACCAGAAGGGGCCGGTCGCGACGGCGGCGGCGGAGATCAAGGGGACGGTGGTGAAGGCGCTGTTTATGAGCACGCCCAAGAAGGAGACGCCGGCGAAGAGCCAGGCTCCTCCCGTGGCCGAGGTCTGCTCGAAGATGAAGAAGCTCAACCTGGCGTGCCGGGAGGTGCCTAGCAGGTACCTGTCGCAGCTGCCCACGCCGAAGATCGCCAAGAAGTGCGAGGAGACGGCGGCGGTGGTGAAGAGCGCGAAGAGAGTACAGGAGCCAAGGAATGGGAAGAAGAAGATGATCTTGGGCTGTTCGGCGAAATGCGCCAATGCTGAAACAGACAAAGAGAACCGAAGTGGCCGTGAGAACATCAACGCGGACGAGAACTCGTGTAAACGAACTGCAAGGCGCAATTGGGGGCAAGAACCCAAGGAGGTGGTGCAGGGATCACGGGTTGAGGTGGTGGAGCCATTGCAGCCCGACATTCATGGCGACGACAAGGAGAATGCGCCATGCGGTGATCAGCTCGCCGAGCAAGCCTTGAATCGGGAGGATGAAGAAGATGAAAACAGCAAGCAGTCGGAGAACAGTGAGAATGCTCCTCAAAAGGTACTGAAACTCTGACGTTAGTAATGTGATTTGCCATGGTTTAGCTGTGGGTAGGATATGGTGAACCTGAAATGCTGCCATGACTAATTGCAGGTGCTTAAAAGGCAGAACAAGGTAGTGAATGCAGAGCAGGGAGGAAAGCTCAAGAAAAATACCATCCTAAGGCCATTCAGGCTAAGGACTGATGTGAGTTATGATTGCATTGCATTCCACATTACCTGTTTTTGTGAAGGATTTTCATTCAGTTGCTGAAAGGCCTCTACTCTTTGTGCTGCATTTAGGAAAGACAGGTGTTGAAAGATGCAATTCCAGAAAGAAAACCGACGGTCGCCGAGAAGAACATCATGCCAGCACTGAAGGGTGAAAATAGGCGAGTGATGGTAAGTTGAATCAGGAGTGCACAACGTTAGATTTCAGATTTCTTCGACTACCACCTGTGGTTACTCACTGTTCCTATGTACTACTGTGATGTGATGCAGCAAACTGGAAGATGCCCTGATGGAAAGGAAAGAGAAAAACTGACTTGTGGCGAAAAGCAGGTGAGCATTTCCCGGTCCACATCAATTTAGTGGTGGTACAATTTAGAAACATACATGCTGAATTGCTTGTCTGTCCATGTTGCATATTCAGAGGAAACAAATTACATACACCGCCACGAGTCGGCTTGGTGAATCTAAAACTGTTTTGAGTAGCATCCGGCCCAACAATGTGAGGCCTGCGCTGACTAAAGGCAAAACCGTAGAGAAATCACAGAGGGCAGCGTCATCAACAAGAACAGCCAAAATAACAAGGTTTGCAAAACCAAATCAGTTCCTTCCCCTTTCTGAATTTCTGAATTTACACATTGATTTCTGAATTTTAGCACATGATGATATCCTTTCATATCCCTGTGTTCAGTGGTTTCACAGCACCCTCTCAAACTGGAGAAAAGAGGAAGGCCTCGATGAAAACATCCAGGCTCCAAGCAGCAGCAGCTTGACTAGAACATGTGGCAAAAAATATGAAAGAAGACAACGATTATATTGTCTGTTCCATCCAAAAGACTGAATGTGTATCTATGGCGTCGAACTGGTTTTGTGAGTTTTGTCATCTAGAATTGTACACTAAGGAGGGGGTTGGCCAGGAACTCTCACACCAGCAGGGTTATGTCAAGTTTCCCTGTTTTTGTCCATGAAATTGGTGTGATGAGTAAAACTCTTTTGTTCTGTACCATCTTTACTAGACATTCTTTTTGTAGCTGAAAGCCCAGAAGAAATTTAATTCAGTGGTGTAATGTGTATCTATGGCATAGAAGTAAACTGGGAGCTGCAGGGTTCCATCCAGTTTCCTTGTTTCTGTACCATGAAATTTGTGAAATAGGTGAAATTCTTTTGTTTTGGTACACCCCTACTAGACGCTTATTCCAAATTAAGCATCAATTAATTTGGATCGGAGGGAGTACAAAGTTAAGAATTGTGTTCCTTCCTTGGTTTGAAATTGTGAAATCCAAACTGTCCATGAAAATGAAAATTCCTAATATGGAGGCCCCCTTCAATTTGAACTTCAAACCACATACCTGAATATAAACATGGATATCGATATTTTTCATGATTCATTTTTATAATAACTGCACACAATATAGCACCAATATGAACAATGTTGCTGATTTACAAATTTTACACACAATTACAGTTGATCAAACGATTGCTAGGTGGTGCAACGATTTGTGCACCGGGTATCAATGGGAAACAATGTGTGCTGTAATAAAGAATCTGCTCTGCTATGTCAATGCCATATTGACATGGTACTATGTGTATTAACCAAAGTTTAGTGTCCGCATATGCTGGGTATTTCTGTTTCCTTAACACATCAGAAGTTGTTTGTAGAACGCCTGCCGACCGGTTCGAAAAATCCGCGTCACCATATAACATCATGAGGAGTACACAACAACATGAATACACGGTTGGCATTTTGACTTTACCAAATTACATCTAGCGAAATCATTTTAAGAGGATAGATAATCATCTATGCTATTTGCCTTTACAATTTTGTTACAAAAAAAATCAGTCATCTGAATATACTTGCGATTGTCAATTGTAATATAAATCTATGAATCACCATCACGTACTTTCAGACAAAGATGAGCTTTCACAGGCTTGTGGTCAGAACTGCTAACACAATCAAGTGCTTCATATGAACTTAACACCGCATCCAAGCCAGAAGAATGGTCAACCTTGAACAATATCCTATCTGTCCAAGATGGCACTCTGATCTGAGGAAGTGAAGAGCATATGCATAAGACATTAAATTTCTTTCAGACAAATTGACATCTTAACATGATACTAACTGAAGGTACCTTGTAACTTGAATCGTAGTTGCTACTTCCGACATTATATTTGTATGTTGGCTTAAAAGACAAGGTCCCTTCACAGTACCCATTGAACACTTGACCCTTCTCGGCTTCTTGCAGCAGCTGGTCTCTGTCTCTTAGCTTCTGAAACAGCGCATATGTGTCAGGCATTTATGTCATGTAGAAATTGAATAGGTCCAGCATACACTTACACTTTGGCGATTCTCCTCGATCATCTTCCTTGCTGGCATCGAGCTTATTCCTTCTAATCTGTAATTCAAGTCACCGAGCCACACTGTTATGTCGGCAGATTTGGCATAATGTATGTCATTCTTGGAGAACAGCGAGTGCGAAATATGCCGGCATTCAGAGTTCCTCTTCTCCACCTTGTGTTCATGAGCTACACTTTAATAAGATACCTTGTTAGTTTATATCATTGAATTGTTGTTGCTTTCAGTATTAGCACTAAGGTAATAAGACCCAACAATAAGAAATTGATTGACTAAAAGCTGGAAATCAACCTGCAAGATGGCAGGACACAAACACCATCCGGATCCCACTGAAGTTTACATACATGGCCACAGCTCCTTTCTTTCTCCCAATTACGCCTCCGCAGCCTCCGACTGCGTGTTTGTCCACCTTCATTTCTGTCCAAATTCAGGTATTTAAACAAAACTTACATGATCATATTAGATGTGCTGTTTCAACACCAAGAATAGTCAGGTATGTAAGAACAGGATCACCTTTGATGTACGATTCCGAACTCTTTGCCCCAAAAAGAAACATCTGAATAGACTGCATGGCTTTCTGACATAACAGGCTGAAATTTGACAAGCATTGCCGTATTTCAGAATATGTTGAAAACCTTCAAAGTGTTGAAATCAAAAGATTAACCTTGAAGACTCCTCACATGTGTGTATCAGCCATGGCTTCTTGCAGAACCTGCTCGACGCCGCATTTCGGGACTTCTTGCAGCCCAACAACCAGCAAGTCGAACTTCCTGGTGGAGCTCACCAGCTTTCTTAGGTCCTGCACAGACATCTTCACGGAGGAGCAAATATTAAACCAAAGCAAATGGCCCAACCACCATCAAGAATAACTCAGCCATGAATATGACATACCTTGCCGTTCATGTTCCATGTGATAATGCAGACACAAAGCACAGAGCTGGTGGTGAACTCGCAGGCTTTCTGAATCCGGATCGTCTTTATGCCGTCATGAGTTCCATCCTCTTCAATGGAAACCATGCCGTTGCTGTGCAGATCACCGAATATCCTGCGGTCCCGTTAGTATATATACATCAATCATATGGAATTTCTCATATGGAAAGTAACTTTTAATAAGACTGGATATGTATAAAACTTTGTTATCTCAAACGGATAAATATAATACTTACCATTTTGGAAGACTGAAGCTGCTGCAGTTGCCCATGTCTCGTCTATGTTGGCCGAGCCCTTCCTTTCCGACTATCTTACAGGGAGAAGATTACAAAAGGGGGCTTTTTATATACCGATCTACTCCGAAAGTTCAACCTTTCTTTGCAGAAACCAAATTGATCAGATTTTGAGATGCTTCTGGTCATCACGTTTTCCTGGTCAGCAATTCTGGTGCAAAGTTTCAACATAGCAGTAGAGAAAGGGACAAGTGGAATGCTGAAGACCAACCACTTGGACTGTGTGGATTGGGTAGTTAGGTATTGGATATCTCTGATGTGACAACAAGATCGCGTTCGTCGCCCCATCATTACAAGGGCTGCTTCTGCACTCCACAAAGAGCGCACATGTGAAATAGACTAGGCACATACAAAGGTCCAGTAGAATTGCTTGGCGGAAAACAGGGCCACAGTTTTGCTTAGCAAGTAACTTGGTTGAACATGAGCTCTCTAATGGAGAAGTTCAATTGGGGAACATGTTGGACTTGCTGTGTTCCTGAAGTTTCACCATGGGAGCCTTGTGCATCACTGATCCGCGGGTAGGTACATAGACAGGAAAAACAACCGTCTTGTGAAAGCGATATCTCTCTCGTTTTATCTGGTGGCATGTGTATTTTAAATGAGCAGAAATGCATTGCCCTGACATTTTATTTATTATTCTTGTCTGTTTAATTTTAATTTTCAAAGCAACAGCAATGCATATACCAGAATAGGCTTCCCAGTAAGTCAGTAGCACCCTCAGTGAAGTTAAATCAGATGGACTGCAAAATGAAGACATGGAACTTCAGTGTTGTGGATAGCATCGCGCCATTTACCATAAAATAGCTATATTTACAGGAAGTGCATCTCAGAAACAGCATATGAATCCACTCTCAGAATATGTATATAATAACCAAAGAAAAAGAGGAAAAGATACATAGAAGTATAAACCCAACCAAGAAAAATTCGCACCACACCTGATATCATATTTTAATACTTCAGGTGTTAGCAAGTACTGGCAGATCAAAATACCAACATTCATTATTTTATTTTATTTGCGGGTGAAAGTACGAACATTCATTATCTTGTAAAGATAAGTGACTACCAAATCACAGAGTTTGAGACGAGGCCTGCAAAAAGTTGTTAAGGAATGTCAACCCTGGCGCCGAAGGGTAGGTCCTGATTACGGGGGGAGGCGTTGGAGGGGCTGCGATGCGATGACGAAGAAGATGTATGCGGTGCTGGGTCTGGTGGGTCACCGACTCATTGGAGAAGAGGGAGTGACGGCGGCAAGCTCTACATCAGACCCAGACGAGTTTGGTTTGGGGTCTCGAGGTGGTGACGTTGTTTGTGTCTCCGGCGTGTCTTTCAGGGTCCGGTCAATTTAGGTTTTCAGTGAATCTAAATTCAGCCAACGTTCATTGATGACTTCAGGGCCGCTGCATATTGATATTTCTTATAATTATGTTTCTCATTCCATTATTGGTGTGTAGTTCTAGCAGACAAATGAACGTTAAGATGACAGATCCAACTGATGCGTCTTCAAAAGAGGACAACCGGATCAAATTCAGTATAGCAGCGACAAATCACACCCCAGCGATAATAAATACATATGTAAAGCAACAAATCGCTGACTGTTAAAACCCCGCAAAGTTGTCAGGGCAGTGGTAATTGTAACCAACAGAGTTTATGCAAACACCGTCATTGAATTCTCACGCTACAGAAGGAAGAAACACTATCAAGGAAAACTAAGTTCATGTTTCATAAGGTACTTCAAAGCCTGATCCTGAGAGTAACTTCACCATCCCAGTCGCACCTAATAACAAGGATAAAACAAATAATCAGCAAGTGGTTTACTGCAATCTGTAGCAAGCAAAACATAACAATGCAATCAAATAGGTTAATGCAACTATACAAAGTCCAGAACAAAATATTGCGGTGCAACCAACTACTACTGGCTTAGCAATAACTATACTGTACCAACAGATAAAGGACTATTAAAACTGCAAACGGCGCCAGAACAGAGTAGTTTGCGTTTGTCTTCCTACCATGAATAAATACTCACTCCGATTTTATTTACTCCCCATATTAGCTTTGGCCCAAGTCATTGCCAAGTGAGTTCAATGATGATTCATTGCCAAGTTTATATACATGGTATGAAAATAAATGATGATTCCAATGTTATTGATTTGGTATTGTGGATGATAATTTCTTTTGTATAAACTTGGTCGGAGTACAG